TATATATATATATATATATATATATATATATATATATATGAACGCTAATAAAAAGTGTTAAAGCCACCATTCAACCAACAATTCGGTTCCCGCGCTGACTTTCGCATTGGAATAAAAGTGTAAAGGTAGCACAATATAAATGAAACTAACAACAATTTCAACTTAATTTCGCCTCTTGTAGAGAACCTCTTTTAGAAAAATGTAGCACTTTTGTTTCAGAATAAAATAAAAAGGATAAAGCACTCAGCGTTGATCAATCCCTTAAGGGTGCGCCATGCATTCGACTTCATTATACATCGTTTGGAGGTGACTGAACGCACATCTGGCCTTTATAATAACTCGTGGTGACCTACCGATGCATCGAGCCAGTGCTGCTACCTTCCCAGACAAGTCTGGTACCAATTTGCTAACCCCGGAAGGATGGGAGGCTTGGTGGGCCACGAGCGCAGGGATCCATCCCATGTGTGTGTTGTAGGGCGCCTCCGACCAATGCGCCAGAAGTGTCCATGTTGCTACGGAATAGAAAAACAAATAGTCATGTGCTTCTAAATCTCACTTAGCTTGTACCATATGAACACCAATGTAGTGATTATAAGAAGAAACTTAAATTCAAAACAAACTAGTATTTGCTCTAACAATATCACACAATTACTCAATGACGAAAACACGACAGTAATAAAATGATGGGCTACAAGACTTTCGAAGACACTAGTAGAAAGCCTTTACCACATTGCTCGCTGAACACCACTTAGTTTACTGTGGTCTGCCAACTTCCTAAACGAGATGAAGCGAAGTTTGTCGGATGTCACATTTTAAATATGATTCAGTTATCTAGAACAAAAAGGGTACCTGAACAAATGTCTATTTAGTCGATAAGGTTTTATCTTTCCACGTTGGCGGCCCGTAAACATGCACATATTGAGGACTAATCGAGGAACTGCGTACTTTGGCATGCTGTGAAGCTCCTCAGCTGCAGCATCACGAATTGCCTGAAAAACATTAGAATCAGCTCGCCCAAGTTTGAAAAGTGTTTTTTACCTGGGGTAGCACCGTATTCCATTTCAACGCTTTAAGGCGCATTCGATCGGCCCCAGTTTCAGCGACTAGTTCGCGACGTCTAAACCAAAAATTGATGACGCATACTTCTAATTTCTATGAACATTTTAGAACACTTAATATTGGAAACTATTCCACCACATCTGTATGCTTGATTCTACATGAAATTCGTTTCTCTGCTAAAAACATACGGTACATGGAACAGTTGCAGTTTCAATAAAAAAGCTCTAAAAAAGTTCTCGACGTTGATCAATCCCTGAGGGATGCGTCATGTAATCGACTTCATTAAGCATCGTTTAAAGGTGATTGAATGCATGTCTGGTCTTTATAATGAGTGGCTTATAGATGTATCGAGCCATTGCTGCTATCCTCCCAGACAAGTATGGTACTAATTTGCAGATCCCGGAGAGACGGAAGGCTTGGTTGGCCATAGGTGCGAGGATCGATTTCACGTGTGTTGAAGGGCACCTGCGACGACTGCCCCACACGCGCCTTTAGCAATTTCAATAAAACAGAAAATTTTCAGCTTTCTACAATTGTCTATACTATCGATGGATAATGGATTTAGATCGCTATGCTGTAGTACAGCATTGCATAGTTTTATAGTAAAAGCTGGACTCGATACAGAATCATATATTTGCTGTTTTCGGCGCGCAATGCCTACTCAGTCCTAGGTTTTTACTTGCGTCAAACTATGGTGCTATTGTTAGAAGCGATGAGAAAAAAAAACAAATAGAAAAACAAGCGCAGAGCTGTGTACTAACTTTACATCCCTCAGTTGTCGCCATGTTGCCCAGAAAGTCATCCGATTCCCTCGTTTCCACCATTCACGCTCCACATAAAATGGATATTTGTCGAGCCTGAGAATTTAATAAGAATCAACTACTTCATGACTTGAGAAGTGTTCGCAAAAACCACATTGCTTACTTCAGTTGGGCAATAGCATCTTTTGAGTACGTTTGCGCAATTCTGTTTGTTGCATCTACCGCTCTAATATCTTGTGAAGCACTTGCGTCATACTAAAGAAAAAAAAAAGAAAAAAGAAAACACCGGGCATTATGCGAATATAACTCGCCACTTACTTCATCAGGAATGGTTTCAATAGTTTCTGATCCCACAGTCGTCAGTGTACGTTTCCAAATTGTACTTAGTAGATGTCTAGTGCTATTCAACGTACGTAACATGCCTTGAAAAACGACACCTAGTCAACTTAACAATAGAACAATGACAATATACTGCAGGACACAACGTAAACGTCAATGTATACAGATGTATATAAATTCTTCCTTTGGAAACCACATAATATGACAGAATGAAACAAATAAAACAGAATCATTTACAAAACGATTGACCACAGTATCAGAAATAGGCAATTTGGGAAATAATGCATTGCTGTCTGTCCGTTCCTGATTCAAAACAACATCGGAGAAACCGACATTTAATTGCACATTTGTAGCCCAATCTGTTTCAAGACAAATCCTAGTAACTCGGTTGCCTACAACAAGTATACTTTCTGACTTCGTGTCGATATAACGCTTAGTGCTCTTTAAGTACAACAAAAAGTGAGAAACCCATGAGTGTAAGACCCAAATGTCCGCAAAAAGCAATGCAGCCTTCCGAGACCGGACTCTGTATCAAAAGCTATTACGAAAACATCTCGTAAAAGCTTGAATGACTTCAAAAGTATGGGTATCAACCTTTCCATACATCAAACAAGAACACAACGTAACCCGTTACTTCTATTGTATAGTGTAAACAGAGATTAAGACAAATGAATAAGATATAGGTAACTGTTGAAGGCAATATAAATATCGGCAACAGTTGTACCAGAAAAAATACCAAATCTAAATAATGTAATAAATGTGAGTGATGTAAACGATCACATTTTCCTAGGCTTAACGGCCACTACAAAAGCTCCAAGACTATACCCGTCAAAGAACAATAAAAGTGTACAGAATGCGAAAAACATAATATTGAGGAAACACTAGGATATGTGAAATCTCCTTTGTAAATAATGTAAAATAAAGGTGAGAACTGAAGAAGAAATAGTAAAATGGAGTTCGAAACAAAAACAACCGCCCGTAGCAGCAATTAATTAGTCCTGCACAGGCAAAGCAGTAAGACCGGCTTTGGAAGCTCTAGGCTTATTGACCATTATTTTTATACATCCCTGTAGATCCGCACTAACAATCACGTGACCATTATACACGTGTTGAGAAGTTGTGGGAAACGAACCAGTATCACGACTCTCCTCGTCTTGTTTTGCGATCAACGACAAGAATACCTTTAAAAGAAGACTATTGGGAATAATGAAAACAGAACCTAACAATTAGAGAAGTACAAAAGAAGTAAGGAAGTGACGGAATAGTGTAATGTGGACGAGAACCGCTCTCAGTGATTAATAGCAGAAAAACACAAAATAAATTTGCGATAGTAGGTTACATTTTTAATTATTCCACACAATGATCCGTAGATGCCCGCAGATAACCAAATTAGTGCTTACATTAAACGAAAATAAATCAGCCAATCAGAACAATAAGGAGGGAGCTTGGTCGGAAAATAATAATCGCCTCGCCTCTTTAAACTTTTATGATTTTCCTACACTACAACAGCGCCTAATTTCTTCGTCTTTCCAGCAAATAATGTGGTTTTTGGGAATGCAGAAATTCAATATTTTATAGAAAGAGCTTTGCACTATAACCTTAATGGTACGACTATCCTCTTCCAAAATGCTAATTTAATTGAAAAGTTCCTCATGACCCAAACTTTGAAAGAAAAAAAAATCCACAACGGCGTTTGAAGTTTACAAAGGTTTTAAAAGCAAGCACGAGAACTGAAGCCATAAACCAAACATTAAGGTAGACAATGGCACTCTGTTACATAAAATCCCGTTTTTTAAGTTGATTCGCCGCAAGAGATAGCATACAAGCAAAGATAAAAAAAACCGGAAAGAACTGCGGTCTGCACAAAATAAGAATTTTATCATAGTAGAGTAAGAAGAATATTTAACTAGCAAAGATCTATAAATGCTATTCTGTTATACTGTAGGTCTTCCCAACGGTTTACCGCTTCATGGTAGCTGGGAGGTGTTCCTGGGGTGTGGGGTAGCGATGTACAGTGGAGGGGGAGGGGGGGGGAGGGGGAACTCGTCCCCCTGGCAATCTCCCAAGCTGAAAAGGAGTCCGGCGCTTCCATCAGGAAGCCTAGCTAAGAATAAACCAATACCAGGACCCACCACATTTCTGGTATCAAAGTCGCATGGTGGCAAATCTGCCTCTGATCCAAAAGGGCTGCAAGTGCCTGTGGAGGTTAAGACCTGGGGCAGACTTTGGCCAGGCTGACCTCGGGATTCCAGAGATCCATAATGGCTTAACCATCAAATCTCCGAAAAACGGAGATTATGCTGGATTCCGCAAAACGAGTGAGGACGGGCCGTTCAAGTATTAAGTAAGTATCAAGTATACTATAGATGATATTATGTCATTTATTGTAACCAATAAATTTCTCTCTGAACTATTTCAAGCATAAACCATATATAACTGATCATGGTATCTCTTTTAAGTAGGGTTCTTTACCTTTTTAAAACAACGTGCGCACCTTATATGTATATGTTAAATAGTGATGTAGTTCGAGACGCGTTTTGATACATAAGTGGTCGTTGATTCGATAGTGCGCTGTGGGGAAACCGAGCGTTTCATCTAAGCGGATCCGAAACTTAGTAAAAGACTTGTCTTGAAGGACAAAAACACTGACTGAGTGCATGGATAGACTACTGGAACTCAGTGTAGAAGCAAAATATGCAATCGATCCCTCATACGATGCCTGTGATTTGGAATACATGACACATCTCTTAGAGACTGATCAAGGTCGAGCGCCTTTTTTAGCTTTGAGTCCAACGAATGAAGTAGTCTTGTACACCTGTCCATGTCGAAGATGCTAATCTTGGACAAATAAGTGTGAGTCAAGCTATACAAATTTTTCCCTTTTCATCGTTTCTGAATTAAAAAGATCACGGCCAAAATTGAAAAAGTAACTAAACAACCCTGTGACCGTCTAACATTTCCCATTGAAAGACAGATACCAACGAATCTTTTCATCTGTTCAAAAGTTGCGAGCCAATCACTCCTCTTCTTTTGTCGGTCACAACCAGATCCCAAATATCAGACTTGAATAAATCATAAAAACGCATATGTTCTTTGCATCCAAGCAGAAGCAACTGATCCTTTCCAGGTTGACTGCTGTAGGAAGATGTCACCAGTCACTACACTTATTTAATACTCAGAGCTAACAGCAACATCAACACTTTAGTCCCTATCCTCTGATTCACGTTTTCACACTTTTCACCTTGTAAGGATTCCCATAGTCCTCATAATCTTCAAATTTCTCTTACTCAATAAAGATGAAAAGTCGATTGAAAATGAAGTTAAACTCGTCTTCTGCCTGGATGATCCACGTCTACAAATCTTACTATTCGAACAATCATTTGCTGTTCTTGCTTTTCGAATCGCCACGAAGAAAAATGGTAACCATAGGAGATGAGAGACTACAAAAATGTTTTTAAAGTACACGTAACGGGAACAAACGGTCCAGCAGCTTTCGACGCCAAGAAGAGACGGAAATGGTCCAGAAACAAACAAAAAATATAACACCCAGAAGAATGTTGAGAGTAGACGTAGAATATAAAGACATAGAAATTGTTGGTAAAATACACAAAAAAAACTAAATGTATGACAAAACCATACTGGTAACTAGTTTTGGTAGGAGACAAGAGTTTTTCAGACATATGAACAGAGTAAAGCCATTAGCGCGGGGGCCAAAAGCTAAACATCGTCGAGAACATGTTAACTGAACAATCGATGATGTTCCATAAGTCAGGGCCTAAGAATATCATACCAACGGTCTACTGTAAGGCCCTCAATTGGGACTACATATACACATATGTATATATATATATATATATATATATGTACATATATATGCATATATGTAGTTATACATGTATATATGTAAACAACTTATTTATATGCAAATATGTATATGTATGCGCATGCGTATACATGTATACACAAATACATACATATATACGTATTTACGTATATCCTGTACATATGTATGTATACATACATATATAAAGTATATACATATACATAATATGTAAAACATGAACACTTACATGCGGCTTGGGAGCAAACACTGCTACAGATACCGGTGCACTGTGAGCACGAACTCGTTCCCACATTGCATTACGGTCTTTCCGAACAGAAAGTGTGGAAGGCAAATCAGAGGTTCGCCATAAATAGATGAACCTTAAACGATATCACTGACATAGTTCAGTTCTAACATTCAACATACACATTCGATCAAATAATGTTGCTCAAGATCCTTAAGTGATAGCTCAACAGCAAGCTGATAACATTAGTGCTTAAAATGCAAAACATGGAGTCATAAATGGGTCGTAAAAAGCTTTACTCTGAAATCTGATAGAATCTTATCTCAATTCCTTTTCCACTATATTTGGGAGGTGTTCATGAGCGCTGAAGCGTGATAAGCAAAGGAGGTTCGTCCTTCTAGCAGGATTACCTAAGCTAAAGTGTTAAAGTGAAAACTTATAAGTGCTTACTTATCCTCTGATCCACACACAATATGCCTTCCATCAGGAGAAAAGGCTGCGCGAATTTGCGAGTGTTCATTTTGAGCACCACGAAATTTACAAGTCAGAGCTTTATCTCGAACATCGTACATACGAATACGAGAATCGTTAGAGGTCACCTATAAAAACGTACTTATGAGAGGATTATTCACAACCGTGGTTCTAAACCTACCAGTAGCTTGTCTCCATGGACAGCCAGACCTGTGACTTTGTGCCCTCTTGAGTTTTTCCCACGGGACGATCGTACGTCCACTACCGTATGATACTTGAGTTGCTAAAAGTTAAACTAACGAAACAGAGTTAATAACAATAAGCGAATCCATTAAGCCACGACACGAACGTCAGTAGAGTAGAAAAAACAACGCCCATTGTACGTTCCAACGACAGCAAACTTCCCGTTTTTAACGAATGCGATCGCCGTGATGAATTTTACCTGAAATGCATTTTATTTTGATTGTTTAAATATGCACTTTCCACTGTTGATATTGCATCTTTTGCAAAGATTAACCCTACAATGGTACATATTTCAGCCTAACAAACTTAATTTATAAGTTATGATCACAACTTCGACCTACTAATACCTAAAGCACTGTTGCTGCATTCTTATTACTTAGTGACATACTCACATTACTAAACGTCTTAACAGAAAATTTAACGGTGAACCTTAATTGGTTAATGGTGCCTTATACAGGAAATTTAGAAACGACTTAAAAGACTACATTAGCGGCCAAGCATTGACATGTTCTGTGCTCAACCTGTCGTTTCTCCTTAATGCCGTTCCACATAACATTTGGAGTACTATTTAATTTAAGTATAAAGCCGAACCTATTCTTTTCTATGCGGCAACTAATTTTCAGTGAAACAGTTGGTTTTATTACCACAGTACAAATAGCAGGAAATAAGTTTCAAAATCCCTTTTTCCAGCTTTACTTCCACAGCTCTACATTTAAATTTAATTATTAGACATTATAATCATAATAATGCCGAGATACTAGCAAAACTCCGAACCACAGGTGTTTGCGGTAGTGAATGAACGCGCTGTTACCCCTTCCGAGAGCTAACGCGTTCACCACCACACCATTTAGGTCCTTCGTTTGGTCTGTCTTTTAGCTAGATCCCCACCATAAATACATGTGGTTCAGAGTTTTGCAAATATCTCAGCATTTCATACGAGTTATATTTCGCAACATACCCTGCCATTAAGAAGAAAAAGGCAGTAAATAAAAGGGTTAAGATTGTTGTTAAAAAGATAGCATTGTGAGGCTGAGATATTTGCAAAACTCTGGAAAGCAGGTGTTCGCGGTGGGAAACGAACGCGTTACTACCCTTTCCGAGGGCTAACGCGTTCACCACCACACCATGCGGGTCCTCCGCTTCGCCTGTCTCTCAGCTAGTTCTATCGATTACCGCCACCAGCAATCACCGTCAACGGGATTAATCTAGGGGCCCAAATCGGCAACGAACGCAGTTAAGCTGAAGTTGTAGTCGAAATCACAATGTTAACTTTTCATTTACTGCCTATTACGATTTCTTCAGACATTATTTTAGCATTTTATCAATCGAAATTACTTTCACACAGAAAGATCAGACTTTTCCAACTGTTGTTTTCTGCCTTCCGCATCTCCAGTCTTCTTAAAACCTTGTAAAGAGTGTAGCCATGCTTCTACGACGATGCAAGTAAATGGTTCTTTGCATCTACAAACTGCTGCTTTTTATCTATGGACCAAATACCCAAACTTAGAAATTATTAGCACAATAATGTAGTCATATATGGGCGTGAATACAGTGGTCATAATAGCCGAATATGCCCAGTTCACCGGGTGACCTGAACATCTTAATACAGTGCAATGAGCTATCACAATTACTACTAGTCGCTGTACGAGAACTAAGCGTCTACGAAGTACAGAACAGTTATTTCTTCATCGAGTTATTCACTCAAATCACTTGAAATCGCTTGTCAAATCACTCCAGTAATTTATAAGAGATAGTGATGCGTGGCAGATCGTTCATCGTCATTAGCGTGACTCTTATTCGCTGAATATTATGCCCAGAAAACACAGCATTACAATGTTTATAATTCCAACGTCAACAAAAACACACCCATACCAGCCACACATAAACCTAAATCTACGATACCAGCTTCTAACTTTAGCTACTATAAAAACTTTCAGCTGTCTCAAGTGTTTTCATTACAGTAATAGCATTTTACTGCCATTTAAAAGAAATACATGATATCAGCACATGGTTATGCACAATTCTGTAAGGAACCCGCACTGCGCCGATCTGAGAAGCATGCGGTGTGCATTGCACTCACTGCACGACAGTCAATTTTTCCCTCTCCCTCCACGCAAAAATGAGCAATACTTTCTTCATGTTTTTCCGCACATTTCTGTAGCTCTACCATGTTCTCCTTTTTCTCTAACTTCCGCCTTTTCTCCTATGCTCTTGCAACATTTATAACTTTCACAATCCAGCCACACTACTGTTGTGTAGCCTTTGGAAAGGTTTTCTAAGAAAGCTAAAGTATATATGTTTTTTCCTATAGTTCTTTTTTTCTTCATATTCCTCGATTCCGTGTAATTAGTTTCGTCGTAGTGAACGCAAAGGAAAAAACACTCAATCACTCGTTAAAAATCGAGTTTCATAGGCCCGATTCACGTCGGTGATATACGTATTAAGCTTCATTTTTGAATGGCTGCTCATCGAGAGCGAACTGATGCAAAGCTATATGCTCTCGACGATCAACAATCTGAAGCATATAGAAGGCTAAGACGAAAGTTATGATGAATAGGTAATCAGCGATGATAGTAATGGTGCTATGTAGTCTCTCGCAACCAAAGGGATTATTAGAGTACCTTTTCTGTTTTTCGACCTGATCGTACTCGACATAATGTAATTACAAGACAGATTTCGGAGGCTACTTGCTCACCTCCAATTGGTTAACAATGTGGCGTATGATGGAAAGTAGGTGCGGTATAATGGTTCCCAAATAGGAAGATTGGTGGGACACTGTCGTGGTTTTTACGATTCATACTCGAATTCTCTCCGCAAAACCGTGAAATTCTCAGAATAAGCAGGAGATTTCGTTATACGATTCAAGATTCCCGCATATTTCGGTTTCATTTGTGTAGATAGTGTCTTCATATTCACGTACTGGAAAAAACTGCGCTATGAAAAAAAAAGAGTTGGCGAAGTAGTGTTGGTTGCGGAAGAAACTAACGAAATATGGCTCAACATCGGATGGAAAATGTGCTAACCATGCAAGCAGTACAAATGGACAGTACAACAGATATTACCTACTTACTAGGACACTTGGATTGCCCATCTTCACTGATTGTGCGGACACCAGCATATTCTCCATTTTTCGGAGTTTTGGTGGTTGAGCCACTGTGTTTCCCTGGAGTCTCGAGGTCAGTCTAGCCAAAGTCTGCCCCAGGTCGTCACCACCACGGACAGCAGCCGCGCTTGTGAATGAGAGAGATTTGTCACCGTACGACTTGTTTGGTACGATGACGGTGGTGCATCCTGGCATTAGTTTACTCTTAGCTGGGTCTCCTGATGGAAACGCTGGATTCCTTTCTCAGCTTGAGAGACACTGCCGCAGGACGAATCCCACCGCTATACATCGCGGTACAACACCTGAGGCGGTAGAGTGGGAGGACAACAGACATTATTCAAAATATTTCAATAGTACCATAAAGATTGCAAAAGCTGTAGACAATAAAATGCAAACTCTATATAAAGATTGCAAATTGTAAAGCGTGGAGAAAAGTAATGGACCGAATTTCATATAAATCTTGTGGAAGTACTCTAATGTAAGGGTTACGGGTGATGAAAAAGTGTAAGCTGTTAGATTTTAAAAACTATGGAAAGTTTGTAAAAAAGAATTTGGATATGATATTTACAATGTACTTGTTAAACTGTAAAGACTGCAAGTTATAAAATAAATGTTTAAGTATAACGTAAGTGAGACGTCGTGATAATAAATCTTGAGAATACGTGTTGTTGAAATGTCAACAAATGCTAGTACTTTACACAAATTTCAATATAGAACAAATTCGTCTAGAACATAGCCGTTTTTTGTATATTCTTAAATGCAGATAAAAGTTTTCCTGACGAGTACGCTAACAAATAAAGATGAACAGTGAGGCCAAAGGCTACGCTTGGCAAAATAAATAACCGGAAGGAAAATATGCTAGACCAGAGGTGCCATAAAGCTACCAGACTAGAGCGAGCTCGATGTAGGGTGATTGCTGACGCAATAAATATTAGTATGAGTTGTATAACATCCTTAAATTCCAAGTTGAAAAAACGCTTAAAGCTGCCCTATTTCCCGAATGGAGATCATAATGACATAACACAATAGAATTAGCAATAATTTATCAATCCTTAAGGTGGATGGAGATGAACATTATGTATAAGAAAGTGAAAAAAATATGAAAATAGAAATGAACCTACAGGTACTTCATTCCAAACAGCAACTTTTTTATCTGGTATATGCCACATCCGTAATTTACCATCTAGAGAGCCAGAAAGAAAATAACGGTCGTCCTAAAAAACAAAAAACAATAAACAGTACTGGATGAAAATCGAATTAAAATAACACCTTTGGAAGAAATGCGACTGAAGTAACAAAATCCACATGTTGGAAACAACACAGACATTCGTTGCGAGACAAGTGCCACAGTTTCACAGTTCGATCCATCCCGGATGAAAGAACAAAGTAGTTCTTAGACCATGACAAATCCAAGATGTCTGCTGTATGGCCCTATAAATACTACGTTATACCTACCCTCCAATGAATTATTTAAAGTGGAAGTTCACCTTGAAAACGACAAATGGCTTGGCCGAAAATAAATTCGTAGAATCTTCATCGTCGCTATTTTGCTCGCCTTAACAAGTAAAATTCGCTTTATATGTAAGTATAACAGAGTTCCGCTTTATAGCGCGATATGGTGGCGCGCTTTTTTTCACTATTTTTTACGCCGTACGTATCGAAATAAAGCCTTGATAAGAGAGGCCAAATTCGCTTTCAAACCAACATACAATAGTTCCACAGACAATACTGACAACGCTCTGTGCTGAGAATGTCCAACAACGAAATACTAAACACACTTTGTGTATTACTACTACTGGGACTAGGCGGCCGAAATGACTCCATCTCATGAATTGCTGCTTGAAATACGTCGCCAGGTGAATTGCAAGAACCAGAGTTTTTATGTTGATATCTAAATGAATTCTCTGAGAATAGTCAACGCAAGGCTAAGACTGAAATATACATCACATAAGAAAACCTTTCTCTCATTTGGATGAAATATTTGAGGTGACTTCGAGCAGCCCAAACCCGAATCATATTATCCTGGCCGGCTGTTGCCATCAAACGACCACAAACAGAAAATCGTACACACCATACTGCACCAGTGTGTTCATTGCACAATTCCTTAAACTTTATCGTCCGAAAAAAAAAACAAGTGGGACAAAAGAGAAAAGTATGAATATGACTTGATACGCAATATAAACGTGAATAAAAAACGAATGTGCCTTAATTCTGAAGGAAAAAAAGAGGGTATCGCCATCTAACGCAGCTTTACTACCTTAAAGGTTCCTTTCTGTATTGGTAATGTGCTGTGTGTGAGTGACTCGAATAAAAACGACGTTTCATCCATGAGTACAATGAGCGGACGATTAGATGAAGATCTCATGAAGACTAAATTAAGCGCACAACACAGAGCACAGTTAACCAAAAAACTAAATTAAAAACTAGTTCTCATATTGAGCTCTACTAACTCCGATGAACTCGTGTCGCAGATGCCGACTATCAATATGAGCTAGTGCCTGATCACCGTTTCATGTACACTGCACTGCTATAAACAACAGTAAGTACGGCCGACCAAAACTTACCAGACATGCGACTGAAAATTGATTAGTCTTGAAAAAGCAATTCATATTGAAACTAACGGCACTTGTTTTCTCATGTGCTCACATATGATCCAACTTATCGGGCTCTTACGAAATGTTGCATAATTTACACCTTCTGCTTCTCGCTGCTTTTAGATGGGGAAGATCATCGACTCATAAAGGGCAAAGCATAAAACGTTCGGCCTTGATCAACGCCATACACTCCACTTCATCAAGCATCGTTAGGAGTGGCTGAATGCATATCTAACTCATACAATGACTTGCGGTGGCTCATCGATGTATGAAGTCAATATTGCTCTACTACAGGCTAGTATCAATTTGCCAAGCCAGGAGCGATGGAACGCTTGTTGAGTCCAGGGAGCGGAACCAAATTAACCACAGTATGTGTATTGTAGGGCACTTCTAACCACTCCATTACACGCACCCCATTAGTGGACACTCTCTAAAATAGGAAGCAGATAAACATAGATTCAATGAGTACAATAAATAACAGGAATTTTGTGTTCCTCAAAAAGCCTTTTTACAAACTTGTGACAGGAGGGAGTCTTCAACTGCCTTAACTCATGGTAACTTCTATAGAGTGAAGAAAAGGAACTATATGGCTAATAAGCCTCGTTTAGGAAGTCGACATGAGGGTAGCTTGTCTCTTTCCCAAAATGTGTGTTTCACACGAAAATCGATTGCGCACCTTAAACAAAAAAATGAAAATGAAGTGCCCCACATTTTAGCAGCACTATCCCATATTGGACCTGATCACCGTTTTCTCTTAGAAAACGATTATTTTTTCAAAAAATCTAAATGTAACATAGTTCGACCATTGTCTAGCACCAAATCTCCATAATAAAAGTCCTCATCTACGTAGACAAACAGATTCAACGAAGCAAAAGAACGACAAGTATGAGAGTTAAGTCATGATTTTGAACGAAGTCATTCTGTCCAAGCAGGTTACTTTACAACAAAAAGAAGATAAAATACGTCGTTCGCAGAGTTTGAAGGAAAAATCTACATTTCTTGCGAAAATCTACCACAAAGTTCTAAAGAATTCCGGGCTGGAAAAAGAAGTGGGAAATCTGGTACAGAAGAAAAGCATCCGATTTCTAAACTCTTACAAAATTGAACCAGGTGACAGATATTGTTCGTAGCATACATACCTTAGCAAGCGAAAAACATCAAATCATCGTGCGCAAAATTCCTCTATTCAGAAAAATCAACTTAATTTAGCACCAAACACTATCAACTACCCGATTTGAATGCCGAATTGCCATGTTATTTCGCAATAATATAAAATCTGGATCCTAAGCAGTGAATAAGTAAAAGCCAACACACTTGGAGATTCTCTCTACAACTACAGAGTTCGTAGGGCAATATCATGAATATCATCCGTACTCGTTTCAACGCTTGTTGTTTTCGGGAATAGACTTAACAACGTAAATACAAACGCCATTTTACCAGGATGACTCCTTTATAAAGAGCTTGATTACAATAGCTATCACATCAAATCCAGAAAGTTTTCCCATCAACTCCCACAATTTCAGTTCAAGAAAGAGGATTAAAGCAACAGTAAAGTAATCTCGATGAAGTTATTACCGTACGTGCTAATGTGCAGAACATACTCATTTGCTAATACCGTCTAATAAACGGAAGATAAAAAGTTGGGAACGCACTTGTTGCTAGTAGCGGTTAAGTAACCAATAATAATCATAACCTGGGATAAACATGGAAGAAGCCACTATATACCCTTCCTTCTTTCCACTTCATTCTCATCCTCAGTCTACTATAGTTTCAAACAAAAAGTTTCATTCTTAGCAAGTGATATGTAAAGAATACAGAAACTACCGCACCTGAACCACTCTTAGTTGCTCAAAATCAAAGGGACCTTTCTTGCCCTTTCTGGGACGAACAATAGATCCACTGTGTCCAGTAGATGGTATTCCTGACTCAGACTGGTCTCCTTCGCTGTCAGACGTATCATCTCCCTTCACTGATGCAGAGCTTAAAATGAAAAGAATTAAGAGAAGAATGTATGTTAACAGCCATAACGACACCTGTGTGCAACCGTTTTCATCTTTTGCAATGCTCCACGGAAAAGACCACTAGCAAAATTGCTATAACTTCGAGCCCATGACTTAGCATAATCAATGCTGGATCGTGACTGGGAAAACCTATCCGAACGGATGTCATCACTGAAAACTAGGAGGAATAAATAGGAATACATTAAATTACCCCACAAATAATGCACACTGGAGATTCTCTTGAAATCTACTATTTATCAAAACACAAACCTTATACTTTCTGAGTGCAGTGGAAAATCGCGTTTAATGCTCATTCTCCTCTCTACGTCTCGAGTAATTGGGTCTACTGACGAACACATAACCTTACAATTTCCAGGTGTATCATCTCTTACAACAGTTTCAATGCCACAGTTCTGAAAATTTATGTATACATATGTACACATATATATGTGCATATGTATGCATGTATGTACGTATGTATGTATGTATGTATGTATGTATTTATGCATGAATGTACGTATGTATGTATGTGTGTATGTATGTATATGTATGTATGTATGTATGTATGTATGTATTTATGCATGAATGTATGTATGCATGTATGCATGTATGTATATATATGTATGTATGTATGTATGTGTGTATGTATTTATGTACGTATGTATGTATGTATGTGTGTATGTATGTATATGTATGTATGTATGTATGTATGTATGTATGTATGCATGCATGTATATATGTATGGATATATATATATATGACATAGAACCTCGCTCTCTGTTTAATGTTGTACGCACCTTAAACTTTCCGTTCCTATCCTCACCATGTTCTTTTCCTATAACCTTCACTTCTTCATCTAAGCCTTGCCCTGCCAGTTTTCTCACTTTTCTAGCTTTAATTCCTTTCACTTTTTTCGACAATTCCGAGCGAGGAGAAGACATAGACGAAGACTCGGAAGCTATTGGCTCTAAGTCACCACTCCTTGACTGAAATATAACTGTCTAATTCAGAATTACAGGTCACAGTATTATTTTCTACATACTGAAGACAAACATATCTAAAAACACGAACTTTCTGGTTAGACTATTTTAAAATAAACGCAAGTACTCAGCCAGTCCTGACACGTTAAAATACGGGGCAATACAAATTTACACAAACCGACTGATCTCCAATAAGTGTTGTTGTTATTTGGAGTATTACGCCTTCAGCAGCCGTATTTCGTGCACATTCCTCTCCGTCATCACTCACCTCCTGCCGTGTTAAGGAGTTCGACTTATTTGACGGTGGTGGGAATGGACCAGTCTACAAAGAAGAGTATAGAAAAACTATAGAGTAACACCGTAGCCTCGGACTAACGAACCTTAAGCGATTTCGCTAAGGTTAGACCCCTATCAAGAGAGTTGGTTTTTGTGTGACCTCTCCGTCTTGCATCCGCGCTTGATAGTAAGGAGTCATTCGACGTTGAAGACACCCTGAAACACTGTCTTCATAAAAATGAAAAACGCTTAGAATAAAAATTTAGTGAGGAAAAAAGAACGAACAAAACAGATCACCAAGCTTACTATGAAGATGAAAAGATGGAACAAACTTTTGGCTTTGACTCGGTGGCTGGTGACTTGTTTCGGTCAATGATGTATGTAGCCTTTCCACCGTACTAAATAGTTACAGAGACAGATAAATCTACAGTAACATGTGTTACGTCGAGTAGATCCAATCTCGCCATACCTATCCGTATCCTCAGACAAATTTAAACGCGCAATGAGTTCCGCAGCAATAGGAACAGGAAGGCGTATTGAGGGATTCCTCGGAGGAAGTGGAGGTGGAGATCGCAGATCATTTGAAACCTACAAGGAAAAATTGAAGCTATCTATTCAACAACCTCTCGTAGCGCTGTGTAAGTGCAAACTGCGAAGAATCTCACAGGTAATGGTGGAGGAGGATGATTAGGAGGCGGTCCAGTTGGCGACATCGGCACAACTGCGGCGGAGTTCGATATTGGAGAAGCGCTCTGGAATATCGAAATCAGATGTTAGTTAAACAAAATTCATTGGACCAATATGAAAAATCCAGTGGATCACGCCACCTTCTGCATCCGTGAAAGAATCCTGAAGAACAGCCTTTCGCTGCCAAGTTCTTACTCTTACTTTCTAAAACACTCTTTACTTTTTTATTTATTAAGACTCTCTTCTCATCCCAGTACTGGAATAGCTTTTGAATACCTTAAACTGTCAGCGGAAGTAAGAATGAGGATAAGTAGGTATTTCACTTCCTCAATGATGGAAAGACGCTGAAGCGATATGACGTAGAATTTCAACTCTATATATTGTAATTGAACTATTACGTACAAAACAATGAACATCTATATCAGTAGGAGCTGTCTACAGACGTCATCAGCTGAAGAGAGTCTTGCAAACTTTCGAATATAACTTCAATATCCAAGATGCGTAAGGTAAGAACTACTAGACAGTCTTACTCCGGTGCTATACTGAAGACATAATCTCGTTTCCGATGAATTATTTCCTCACTAAACATTTCTGTCAGACCTTCCCTCAATTGAATTTCACCTTTCAAGCGTAGAAAACACCGTGTGAAAAATCAACATAACGTAATGTTTTTTCTCAAGAAGGTACTAGCTTTATAAACCAAAAAAAATCCGTCAAATTAGAACTAAGAGTCCGCAACCACAGTAATGCCAAGTAGAATCTTCGACCAGTTGCTTCCCTATAAAAAACGTATAATTTATGTAGACTACAACAAAGAGTACCAACATTCTACGTTCACTTTCCGAAGTACTACTGTCAACAACTAGAAACCCCGAAAAACCATATCAAAATAACTTCTACCCACAAAAATTCGTTTCATAATTAAATAGGATAAAGGATGGTCTGCGAAAGTGATATCACTTACAGAGAACAAAAACCTGGTAAGATCATCAGAAGTGCTTGCTTGTAACTGAGTATGAGGTGAATTGTTAGAAATGTTAGCAGGTCCGGCTCGTGTACTAACGCTGTCAGATGGGTGCACGACCTAGACAAAAACTGTCACTGCTACGTAGTTGTCATGGCAGAGAACTCACAGCAGCAATAATATCAAACATACCACCGTCTGTGTGCTCGCAATAACACGTCGATGCCATGAATGCATACTTGTCGCCTCACTAGTTATACTTAAACTATCACAATCAGTGGCTGTTCCGTGAGTGGGTGCGAAATCCATCGCCCCGAATTCCTCACGCATTCGACGTCGAAGCGCTGTAAGTCGATCACGACGCGAGAATGAACCACTATCCTGAAAATGGGGAGCTAATCCACTTCTGGAAATCAAAAACCAGTAACATACCGCAGGAGTGTTAAACAAAGCTGACGACTGGATTTCTTTATCGAGTGAAGGGGTATAACACAGCGCGCTTCCCTTGATCTCACATACAGGAGACTTGCACGTAACGTCGTCCATCGTTCCAATCGCAGGCCGCGAAGAAGGCTGAATTCTAAGGTTTTCCATCGACGAAGTAAGACAAATTTGAGCTGAACCTTAACAAGGGAACAAACAGAAAACGTACACCGGCTACACACTCGTCAGGTCTCTCGAAATCGATCGCGTCCACAAACTCATCAAAATCTCCGCTCATTTTGAACAGATATTCGAACGATATCAGTTGTATTAACCTATGGTCTACAAAGTTTCTTATCAGAGGACTACGTAAACAGCTTAGGACTATATACACTGAAACCCAGAAAAATTTGTAAAAATATGTGGGTGGAAACGTAAAGGAATGAACCGCCTGACAGTAGACATCTAGAATGACGACAAAATATTTAAGTACCACAAGTGTACTGAACTCCATGAGAAATTCTGTATGTTTAAAATTATTTATGAACAAACATGCTTCGTTGATAATTACAAAAAGTAAGATTAGAACTTACACAACAACAATTACGTGTGTACATTATACCTAACAATATCATGCCACAGATCTAACTTATACGCATGAAAGCTTATCCGACAAGGCACGTTAACTAACGTTAACTACAAAATAAGATCTCAAAAATATGACAGTCTATGCACAGACGAGCTTTATAATACTATATAAGCATAAAACAACTTGAATTCTATACATCAATAGTGATCGAATCACATTACATTTCGAAGTTGGCAATGACAGCATCCGCAAAATCTGTGGTCGAAGCATATCTACAAAATCCAGTACCAGTTAACAATCGCTACAAATTCGTGAGTTGATAAAAAAAACATATTCCTATTATAAAAGTATGAAAGAATTAGATAGCAAGACAGTATAAGAAATAAAACTGTCATGGTATTTAGGACGATTTGAATCACAAAAAACTCATATACGAGTTAAAAGTTTTACTCTAACAAATTGGTGAGGAGATAAGACTTATGTTCCTGACTTTCGATAACTTATTCTATACATTTTTTGTGCAATAAACGTCCCGCGATAGGTTATTCTCTTTATTTTATACCCTACAAATAGAAACATTTGTAGCAAGATATAAAATACAAGAACTAGAAATATTGCTGAGAGCACCTACAGATCAATAACATGGCTGAGATAAACGCGAAATGAAGGACTCGTATAGTGTCTCGATCCCCACCGCATAAACCAGCTGCCCGGAGTTTTGCAAATATCTCAGCAACATCGTGGTTATATTTCACATTACACCCTGCCATTAAAAAAAGAGTATGTAGTAAATAAAAAGGGACAACATTGCAAATTGTAGCAAAAGTTTTTCTTATTGATTTGAATCCCTCGGTGGACACCAATTTCTAAGCTATACTTGCTCATTTAAGTTTAAACATAACAAAACGTCATCGTATTAATAAGATAATACATTGCAGTGTAGTATGTATGTAGTGTAGTGTATGTAAACGCGTCCTCAGAATAGAGAAGTACATAGAGTGCATTCATTGCTCAATCGTCCTTGTGGATAGAATACCTTCGGAAACACTAGAGATTCTTAGCTCTTATTCTCACAATATTCTAGTGGTGTTGCAAGCACTGTAGTCAGAAATCTTTGTACTAAAATCCACAATTACAATTAATATTTTCTCCATATTGTCAACAATCATGACAGCACGCAACCTCCCATTCAATGTACACCTCTTACACACAACTTAACAATTTACATACAACTACAATCATTCCAACTCCGCAAGCTTTACAGTCGCCCTTCCATTTGTATACACTTTTGCGGTTCCTACTAAGCCAACACGGTCACTTGGTGTAGTGATGTTCAACAACTTGCCTAGCTCATCACACATTGCATTGTCCGCTAAAAGAAGCAGCCCTTCAAATGTTCACCCTGACCTTTCCGATTCCTTGCTCTAAACCGTCACCTTTGTCGTTATTTTCCGATGCAGCTTAGAATCTTAATCGATGAGCAGCAGAAAAGATTTCAACGGTTCATACTCGACAAGCAGTCAATCGAGCACAATGCTGCCGAGATGATTCAAGGTCCGACCTTTTGATCTTGATCATTATAGCTTCTGTTCATTTAACCACGCTAAAATTTCTTCCCTTTTCTTTCTAAAGACTAACAACCGTTCCTTCTATAGTCAGCACTCCAACTTCGAAGTCATTAAAAAAAATGGCTAGTCCAGCTGAATATGGCATCCTCCATTGCATCGCCAATGTTTCTAGCTGCTAACTTTTGTTGTAGATTTTGAAAAAAGGATTTTTTTCTACAAAGCTTCAAAAAATGGTCTTTTGAAACGAATTTTAAACAAACCTAAAATTGGGACATCGGATTTACAGCAGCGAATTCATTAAATTTGCCAACTTCTCAAATTTTCTTAAAGCGTTCTTGTTTCCAAAAAACTTCCGAAAAACTAGCACCCTTGTGTGTGTCTTCAGAACAAGAAAAAGAAAAAAAAAACTTTGAACACCAGCCTAGAGGAATCCAACATCAACGAGCGCCAACGTATCCTTCTTTACAGCAACTTCTTCAGTAGCTCTACTTTTGCTACACAAGCGTCGAAAAAAGTGGAAAAAAAGAATTGTGGGTTTCAGAAACCTAGTTTTCGTTATAAGTGAAGAAGCGAATTTCCACCGTATAAGCAGAGAAGTTTAGATTGTAATGATTCCACTTCAACTAATGTAGCTGCTACATACTCAAACACGTTTCATTTTCAAAGACATAATTCAAGCATAAATGGCACATATGAGTCATATTATCTTCAATGGGTTGAGAAGCAACGTTATCTACTTAACATTTTAGAATGTGCATCTACTCACACATATAACTGACCGGGCAATTTTCCAAGACACTTACCCTCCCATGTCTCTTGTGCGAACTTTCCCCTCACGAATGACTTTTTCTACAGAGTCTCGCAAAGCATTACCATACTCGTCGAGATGAAGATGCTTTAACAGGTTCGCAGCGCAAAGAATCATTGCAGTTGGATTTGCAATCGACCTAAAGAGGATAGGTTGCCCACATTAAGAATGTTAGGTAAAGGTTGATAAATTTGATGAAAAATAACCTTCCCAATGCCTCCTGGAAAGAGTGTCGACTACCAGGCTCGAAAATCACATAGTCACTTCCAACGGACTGACCAGTGACCACACCAGCGCCACCCACGAGACTGTAGAGGAAAAAACATTTAAGTAAGGAATGTAATAAACGCACTGTCCAAAAAGTAAGCAGAAATAATCACCATATCAAATAGCAAAGTTTTCCAATACTACATTATTTAGATCCGGGAGTTTTAGGAGCCTAAAAGTATCAAATTGCGGATATTCCGGCATAATTCGCCACATATTTGTACTAATGCGCACAAGTTTCCAAACTATAAAATGAGTTCACAGATCTCACTTCTTTCGCCGTAACAAGTGAAAATTAATCATAAATTTACTTTGTATTTAAGGAAATTCGCAGCGCAGCTACTTGTCAGAAAAAAACTTTTTACAAATAATTTAACTGCCCTTACCAACGGTTTACCGCCTCAAGGTGTTTCTGGGTGTCGGGCTGCGATGTACAGCGGGGTATTCATCCCCTGGCACGATCTACCAAGCTGAGAAGAAGTCCGGTGTTTCCATCAGGAAGCTCAGCTAAGACTAAACCAATGCCAGGAACCGTCAGTGTCCTGGTACCAAATTCGTCAACTCGTGGCAAATCGCTCTCTGACCCACGAGGGCAGCGACCGCCTGCGGTGTTGACGACCTAGGGCACTTTGGTCTGGCTGAACTCGGGACTTCAGGGAACCACAATAGCTAAACCAGCAAAACTCCGAAAAAAAAATGGAGATTATGCTGGGGCCCGCACAACCAGTGAGGAAGGGCCAAGTACCTAAGTAATTTAATCGCTAAAAACTCGACCATATTATAAATACACCCAAGAAAGAATGCCGTTTTTGCCGCCTTCATTCGCTAGCCGCAATTCTTCTACGAATAATTGTACCCGTATATTTCAAGATTTCCATCATAGAATCATAGTTCCCAATATGTGTATCCCCAAAGAAAAACAAACCCTGCCGCAAGATTGTCGATTATATTGCCGTAAAGATTAGGCATAACCATGACATCGAACTGCTCCGGCTTTGATACAAGTTGCATGCAAGTGTTGTCAATAATCATCGATTCAAATTCGATCTTGGGATATCTCTTGGCAACCTAAATAAAATTTAAGCAAAATATATGTCTTATGAATGTATTACAATAGCATACATCAAAAAATGTTCTACCTCATGACATGTGTTGAGAAATAATCCATCTCCTAGCTTCATTATGTTCGCTTTGTGAACGGCTGTCACCTGGGGTAGAAAACTATGAGTAGACTGAATCTACAGTGCTAAGGCATCTAAACTAATGATGTATTTCTTAAAACAATTATTGCGTCTGTTCAGGACGTTCGGGAAGAACGCGTCTCTTATATGCCCAAATTGTCCCATAGAATTGTAGTACAACAGATTTAGTAATATAAAGTTACTAGGGATCTTCTTCATAAGTTTCGCTAACAAAATCTCAGAACAGTGTAATTCTCACTCTACAAAGATTTTATTTTTCTACTTTTCAGAGAGTTCTCTTTAGCAACTAAAGCTACCAAAATGGTTAAAAAGGTGCAGTCCGGAAACTAAACCAAACGGGAGAAAATTACTTAGCACTACATAGCACTTATATGGCCTTGCTTCACGAAGAAGAATGCGTTCCTCATGCATCATGCAACCACCGTTTGGCTAATCAATTACTAAGACGCACGAATTTTTACCTGGGCTCTACAAAATGCGATTCCAGAGGATTCTAGATCATCACTGCTTGTAATTCTCGGCAACATAGAGACTGCTATAGCGTTGAAAACAAAGCATAGGAACCAATTCCAATGGCGTAGCATAGATGGGATGTTTCAACTCGATTTCAGTGGTGTTTCGCACAACTTGACAGCTTGATAGCTTCTCACTAGCTATGGAGGCCCAATCTCGTAGACGTCAGTGGTAGGGGGACTAAGACTAGTTTATTGGTGGGTGAGTTATGTTTTCCCGGACATCCCATGTATTCGCGCTGCAGTCGTCACCTCGCGTACATCAAAGGAATAATTGCCATAATGCAACTAGAGTTCCTAGAATGACTGATTTTTCCTGCTTGGGTTAGTTACAGTTGGAGTTCCAAATAAAAGCAATAAACTCCTTTTAACTTATGAGATCCTACTAAATCGATGCATTCATTGTTGTAATACTTACATCGAAATTGACACTAAGGAACATCCCGCAACCGCAGTGAAGCGGCAAACCGAAGTGTGAGTACACAGAAATGAAAAGAATAGAAGCGAAAGCAAACAACTAGTGAGTGCACAAAAATTACGAACACTGGTATTACAAAGTTTGTATTGGTCAGAATCAACGTTAAAAACAGTTAAACATGCCTGGATTGATCTTATCAAAAATACTCACCTTTTTCCTGCCGTGTTTAGTTGCATAGTCGAACGCGAACTTAGCTATACGTTCACACTTCTCAGAAGTGGAAATTTTTAGGCACTCTATTACACCTTAAACAAAATGCGATGTATTTTAAAACGGTGGCAGGTTTGTTTGCAAATTTTTCACATTTTAAAAGTTGGTGAGGTTAAGTATAACTGTCATGATAACACGTTAGAGAAACAAAACACTGATATAGAATGAGTTAAAAAACCAATCTTCAACTCTGAGCTGATACTTCACACCCGACAAATACAATAGGTCTAAACTTTGAATATGCAGTCGTAAAACTTGATTCGATACTTCCTCTCCCTGAAGTCTCTAGACAGTGAAGCTTCTGGTTTTCGAAACAGTCACCACATACAATAGCCGGTCCACCAGATTATGTTACTAGAAAGATGGTGGTAGCTCCCACCAGCAGTTTACGCTTAGCAGGTCTATCGTGAAGGAAATATTAGACATCTTAGCTTAGCAGATCTTGCCAAAAGTGATTAATCAACGCTGTAAACAGTAAGTTGGTACAAAAATTTTCCCAGCAAAACGAGGTAATAGCTGAAGGGAAATCTTGGAAAAGAACTTTCAGAGAATTCGTTGCTATGTACATATGGAGGATTCTTTCAGAGAAATTTCTCATTTCAAGCTAACTATTACTCTTATAAAGGGTGATCCTAACGAATGTTAACACACGACGCAAGAAAATAGATTTCAAAAGCAGAAATACCTGGGACTAATTCGTGTTCTAAACTAGAGTATTCTCCCTCAGTTTGTTCTCGAACAATAACAAAATCAAGCTTCTTCCCGTGTCGGGTTTTGATACCATCCAACGACTAAAATGCGAAATTTCGTGTTGGTGTTATAAAAAACGAAATAGTAAGCACTTAAAGACCTTGATGTGTACCACATTTGCGAAAAGGTCGAGGGCCTTACGAAGTCGCATGTTGAGTCCACTAAGTTCTCCTTCAGTATGAAGTACGGCGGATTCCTGAATTGCGCCTAAAAGGGATAAAACGAGATTTGTAGTTGGCTTGAGCATTCAACGAAAGACGATATGTAATCGGTCAAAGGATAAAGTTCTCAGCGCTGAACAATCCCTGAGGGATGCGCCATGCATTCGACTTCATTAAGCATCGTTGGAGATGATTGAATGCATATTTGGCCTTTACAGTGACTCGTGGTGGCCTGCCGATGTATCGAACCAGTGCTGCTATCCTCTCAGACAAGTCTGGTACCACTCTGCCGACAGCGGAGGGATGGAAGGCTTGGTGAGGCTGGGGCTCAGGAATCGATCCCATGTGTACTGCAAGGCGCCTCTGACTGTTGCGCTACATGTGCCCCTTTATGTAATCGGTACAGATGGCATTCTAACTCCAGAAAAATCCGAACACCATCTTCGAACATCTAACATCAACTGCGAAGGAGTGCAAGTTCTTCGTAAAGAGGTAGTAGTAAACGTAATGAGTAGTGCCCACCTTTGAGTGCAACATTGTTATTCCGAGAAATCGACTTCACAGCATTTTCAATAGATGTGGACCGTGTGTAGTGGACCTCAGAAAGAAATATTTCTAAAATGTATAGAAGGGTTTTCAATCCCACCAATTCTTAAGGATGACATACCTTCGAAATCCAGAGGAATTCCGGTGTTTTTCACAATATCCTGAACGGTGTAGATGAGCTCCGGCCCAACACCATCACCAGGTATAATGGTTATCTACAAGTAAGAACCTGCTAAGTGCGCGTTTAGAATGTCTTGCAGGACGAATAGTACCTTTAATTTGTGTGCAATTTCAGGTGCGGGTCTCGCAGCGCAAATGGCGGACCGCTGTGCAGTTAGTAACAGGTTAGTAGTTCTAGAAATCGGTCTCACAATGCGAGACAACATCATGAAATACTGGTTCGAATTAGAGGCAAAGATCATCGCAACTCAAAACACAGACGAAATTCTCCAACATGGCCAACACACAACGGACGAGTTCCAATAAGACCAACACACGTGTTTACACCATTTGTTGATTGAAATACGATACATAAACTCATTAATACGAATGAGTATCCTGTCACTTGATTAAAATTCGTTAAGGAAAAGCATCGAATGGAGTCCACGGAGCGCGACAAATGAACCTGCCCTGCTCAGGTTGTTGGTGGGACACGTGCCGCGCGTCTCGCCTATGCCACTTCGAGCGCGGTTAGAGGCGCGAGAACTGTGTTCGTTATATTCTTAGTTGTAAGTTTGATAACATTTAGCTCAACTTTTGCTGTATTTAACACCAAAGTCTACAAATCCATCGAAAATTTTGTTACTGGTGTGATAAAAGTGCACCCAATGCATCGCATCTGATGTATTCACTTTTCAGAGGTGTATTTGGCTACACAGAGGTTTTCCGGCGCAGCTTTTCCACTCAGTGGGCAGCATGTCGAACATAGGCGTCTCCTTGTATGTGGCCATTGAGGAGCTATTCTCTTCATCCAGTAATCTACATGGAACTTTTTCTCGTGCAAGTTCAGTGGTCATTAATTTGACTGATAAATGATCGCGTTACTTCTTTCTAATCACCATTCGTGGTTATCATATGGAAAAGGCGAGTGTAGAAAAATACCGACGTGATGCGATGAAGTTCTAAAACACTTCCAAGTACTCAGATCAATGTGACTGCATTGTGGACCACAGTAACATATGTGGCACATAGTAGCACGCATAGTATTCATGTTTATCGAGCGATAGAGTGGAATCTCCGCTATGATTCTATCATCGCCTCAATCCGTCAATTCCTCAGGTCATCGAAAAATTATCGTCTACTGCTTAAAAAGCAGGAATTTCGTAACGGCCGATAAGTGGGCGTGGCGTCAGCGGCGGACACGGGAATGTAGGACGTGGAGGGCATTCCGTGATGTTAACAATATATCAATCAGTATAGTCACATCTTTCCTAGTTTTTTCATCTCTGCACTTCTTCTTCTTTCCTTCAACATCACCAGATCTTCCACGGCTGGTAGTCGCTCCCAACATCTCATGTCCACAGAGGCATTTAGTCACAGCCTTCGATGACCGTACTCTGTGATTTTCCGATATTACTCATTGATGTACAAGGTGAAGTTTACGTGTGGTGAAAAGCAACGAATGCCGTCTATTTCCTTTAGAATTTTGTTCATTGGGGGACGATAAAATCGGAGTGTCTCGATTTTCAAGATCATTGGCGTCTTTTACTCGACTTAATACTTCTAAAAAGAGTATCCAAAACTTTTACGATCCATTTCAGCATTTTCATATTGCTTGCGCTCACTCTATCGTTTATGCAAAACAGCAGACAGGCATTGAGTACAATACATTTGATGAGAAGATAATGGTTTATTCTCCCGAAGTAGATTTTCAATTTTCTGGTTCACATGAAATCTTTTTTTTTCATGGAATCTCATTTTTGAGAGGTGGAAGCAATTGAATAAACGATATTTTGTCCAGTCGGACATGATGGTTTACCTTGATGTATCGTTGTGTTTCTGAGCACTACACTTGCAGTGGATTTTTTAAAAATTTGATAAGCTAACAGGGGGATGTTGCCAACATTCATTCCGCTTCAGCACAGCCGAAGGTGCGAGTCGATGATCCACAGCCGTTCTTTTTTTCTATCCGGTGCCTTTGTCGTCGTATCGAGCTGGATCTTTTTTAGTGGAGCATCTCTCGAGTGATGCATACTCACTCATTGATGCTCTTATATATATGACTGTTGTTGTTGATACTCGTGATTATCTGGTAATAGTAACTTGTTTCTTTCGAACAATTCGTTCTGCCGAAGTCAGTATCACTATTACCTAGCACGCAGCGTAAGAATATCATTGTAGGTCAACTTTCGCATGTTTTTCATTAGCTCTTAGGATGACGGAGACGTTGAAACGTTAGCTGAATAAATATTGGTAACAATATCGTGCTAGCTTATCAATCAGACAAGATACATTGATCATTTAATCCGAGATTAAATGAAAGTCGGTTTGTAATGGCATTGATTTTCTCTTTCAATTTTCTTAAAATTTTTATTCTAGCATTTTCAAAGTGGAACGAATACCTCGTGAAAATCTTCACTACTATGAAGGATATGAGTTTTCTTCTGTAAAACGGTGAAGTTATCTACTCCTCGAATACTTAACTGATGAAGAAATCGTCGCCACTTCTCGAAAAACCAGCTTCAGACTTTATATACCACCCTGGAAAATGGCTGACAGGCGCCATACATAACTCATCTTGTTTTATACTGTTTATTTTCTTGTTTGAAGAGCTTTTTCGCTAAACTATTTGTATTCACATTCGTAACCGTTTTATTTAATGCCTACTCTTTTTATAGGCAGGGCTTATTGGGAAATATAACTTCAATGATGCTGAGATGTTTGCAAAACTCCGGACCGCAGATGTATGCGGTGGGGAATGAACGCGCTATTGTCCTTTCCTGTTATTGAAGTTATATTTCGCAATATGCCCTGCCATTAAATAGAGTAGGCAGTTAATAAAACGGTTAAGATTGTGATTATAACTAAAGCCTCAGCTTAACTGGGTTCACTGCCGATTTGGGCTCCCCAGATCAATCCCACTGACGGGTGATTGCTGATGGCAAAAGATCGATAGAACTAGCTGAAAGACAGACGAAACGAAGGACCCGCATGGTGTGGTGGTGAACGCGTCACCAACCGGAAAGGACAATAGCGCGTTTGTTTCCCACCGCAGACACCTGCGGTCCGGAGTTTTGCAAATATCTTAGAATCATTGAATTTATTTGCATTCATTTGATAAATTATCCAACGCAATTATATTGGCTGACTTCGATCGAGAAAAGCTATCTTCTACCATTAGTGATTTGCAGAAAAAAATTTTTTTTCGGCGAATTCTTTTGTCTGACTTGAAACCCGTGGTAGGATCCTGTTTATGGAGAAGGTGAGAGCTCGTTGGGAAGGTACACAAATAAATCGAGTATTATACATGCGGAAGATACTGAAATGGTTGATGTACCACATGAGGTTTCTAGCGACTAACTGCCCCTTACACCGACGGAGAAACGCAAGAACTACTACTGATGAGGACGGTGCATGTAACTCGTAAGTGAAGGAGCACTTTGGTGAGCATGAATCACATATGACTCATCGTGTAAACAGCCGAAATTAGACGTTCCACGTTCAACATGCATAAATTAAGCATCGTCAGCAATATGTTAGTGAGCACGCTGGACGCCCTAAAGCTCGAAATTTTAGAAGCATCGTAGAAATGGTAATAGCTGTTATTAAAGTAGAATATTCGAGCATCCATAAGCAACGCTGTGTAGTTGATTCAAATTTGCAGCCAGTAAACACGATTTCGAACTTCACTGAGCAGTGCCTTCCATTCGAAAGACCGATTTCTTTTATAAATCTCGACATTAATCGTTAATTTATTTCAGTCTTATGCACTACCCTTGTTGAGCTGATGCGAGATTGTGATTAGGTACTCTTGTAACGTGCTGATTTTTCGGTTGCTTCGACTTCTCCTAAGGCTGCACGTATTTTATGTAACTCTACTGTCTCATTTTGTTTTTAGAAACCAACGTGGTTTGTCACTATTTGTATACCCTTTCATGCCGTTTCTACCTGATGTGTACATCGATCATTATGTACCCTTTCCCTATTCCGAATAGTATTGGAAACCGACAGCGCTGCAAGGTCAGTGTCCTATATTGAGCGTTCTGAGGTCAATATAACCATTCCTCTTCACCGCCATTATAAGTACAATACAACGACATATTCGTTTACTCAAGGTTGAGCGTTTCCATGATGTTTCACTCTCGCACTTGTTTTATCGATTTGTTTGGGAGATTATTTCGTTCCCTCTCTTCATAATCTACAAATCTTTGAAAACTGAGTACTCTATTGTGAATAAATTGTATACTACGCATAACTCAAACGATCGACTTTCTATAAGCCTCGGAATAGATAGTTGATGTATTCATTTATATGATCTTATAAACTGTTCTTCTTTATGTATTCTTTCTTGATAAGCTTACACGAGGTTGATAAATATATTTATTTTCGGCTAACGTTTCGACGTCTTCG